GGTGCCCAGTGGGGAAACCTTATGATACCATTGTATGATATCACTGTGGTTCTGTTTCTTGGGGGGGGTTTTTCCCCGCCAGGGACCTACTACTACTACTACTACTACTACTAGTAGTTGTAGTCATCAGGACTTGGGGTTTCAGGATTGGGGATTGAGGCTTGGGGTTTAGGGTATTAGCCTTGTTTCTGTTTGTTTGAGCGGCTGGAGACGCTACAAATTTGTGCCCTTCTCCACAACGAGGATCTGAATACTTGAGGGTATGCGTTAGGTGGACCCCCCAACCTGTAATAGCGACTGTAAGGGATACTAAGGAGTATATTGGGTCCTATTATATCCCACTTGTACCACCATTACAGGGGGGGGTCCTCGTAAGCTATACAGTATACAAGGGGATCGCCATTCTGAGGTATACAGCATCAAGCACGACAATCAAACTAGTCACCTGTGACAAGTACCGTGCCAAGCAGTGGCAATCCGAACATTTCCACGTCCCTCTACATACACCAACAAAGAATATTGTACGCAAAGCCCTCTCTGACCAAGAAGCCAAAAGGATCCATGCTTCTGACACTAAATGAAAGGCCTTTTCGGCCACCATGCTGTAACCTCCAGTCGCTTCTTTCTCCAGCGACTCAGCGTCCTAGCGCGGGCACAGGTAAGTGGCCTTCTCCAAATAAGGAAATCCCTTTTGAGACTAGTAGTGATGTACTGATCAAAGGGGTTTGAAAGGACAATGTGATGAGCCCCTTTCTGGAGCGGTACGTGTTGCGCTTCGTTCGAGGTGGTTGTGAAAGAACACAGATGACCTTTGGAAAACCCAAGTAAAGACGCACATAATCCCCAACACTACGCCCTAAACCCTGAATCCTTTCAACCTACCATCTGCGTCCTAGACCCTAACCCCACGTAGCCCCTAAACATAAGCCCCAAAATATACCCTGCTACACTATGCTAGCTTCCATTTTCTTTTCCATCATCCCTACTCTCAGCCCACCCCTAAACCCTAAACCCTATATAATCCCACTATAGTAGTTTCCATTTTCTTTTCCATGTCCAAGGTCCTTTTGCTTGGCCTCCTCAGCTTTCTTTCCATCGATGTTGACCTTGATAGGGGTCGCATCCGAGGGTGGGTAACATTGGGGTTATAGTGGGGTTATTACGTGATAATGGAAAACAAAATGGAAACTACTAATTAGGGTTTTGGGTTTAGGCATTCTAAGCTCCCCGAACTAGCTTGAACCCTCCCAAGAAAAGGCACCTTAAGAAAGTTGACCAGGTTCTGTACCGGGTTGCACTGGAATTCTATGAATGTCATACAGGAACATAAGGATTCTATGGGTGGGCTGTCCGGAGAGTCAATGCACATGTGGTGCGGCGGGCTCATTCCGGATTCCTTATTTCTAGAAGCACTAACCCGTCAAGAAACCCCAAATCCTAAACCCTACTTACACTTGAGGCTATCTAAAGCATGAGCTCTGCAACCCCATATGAACCAAGTTCCTTTTCGATTTTCCATTTGATGTTCAATTTGATTCTTTCCATTATTGGGGGGGGATATCCCTAAACCCTAAGTAGTAGTTGGCGTTCTTCTGTTCCATATCTCTATGAGATTGATATAACCCCTATACACCCATTTAAAGGGCCAACCCTAAATCCTAAACGGTAGTTTCTCCAAACATGGGAACCCAAATACAAACCCCCAAATACTCTTGTCCTTCTTATAGGGACCCGCACAAAAGGTACTCCTAATTTTGGGAAAACCCCAAAAGAGGAGCAGATGCTAAACCCTAAACCCTAAACCATAAGCCCTAAACCCTTCTGCAGGCCCAGATGCTAAGCCGCCGAAGAGAAATGACATGCCCAGGACGAGCAGTACGTTGGAAAGAACCGAGCCTGATTTTAGGTTTAGGGTTTAGGGTTTAGGGTTTAGGGCTATACTCTAATGCGGCTATATATAGGGTTTAGGGTTGGGGTTATATAGGGGTAATGGAAGAAGAAAAATGGAAGCTATTCTGTTTTGATCGGGTATTATTGGGGGAATATAGGAGCCAACGGGTTGCCCAAAATTAGGGGAAAGGGAGGTCTTACCCCAATAATGGAAAATTAAATGGAAACCCTAGGTCTCTTGAAGGGGTAAAAAGGGATATAGAGGTATTACCCCAATAATGGAGAATCAAATGGAATTGAACTGGAAAATGAACTGGACACCAAGAGGATTCTTGGGGTATAGGGGGCCTGATAGACAGGCTTCTTAGGACGTATGGATGAAGGTGCAGGATGTTGGGTTTTATCCAGGTTCGAGACCTTCGGACTTGGGGTAGAAAAGATGTGAGATTTGTGCAGGGTTCATTGTTGGGGCTTTTGAATTTTTCTGCACCATTTCTTCGCAGGCAACTGCGAAGTTGTCCAGCAGACGGGATTTTGATGAGGTTTGAGGTTCGGGGCAGTTTGGTGAAAGGTTGTACAAACTATCAAACTATGGAAGGGTCTGCAACTTTTAGACCGACATAACGGTAAAGGTATGCTAGGACTATATGGGGAGGCTATTCCGAGCTCTTCAACCCTAAACCCGGAACCCTAAATAAATCCTAACCCCTAAACCCCTAAACCCCTAGACCCTAAACCGGAGGTCTCTGCAGTGATAAGGTAGGCTGACAAATCCTTCAGGCAAACAATAATGCCCATATGCCCCAACCCTAGACCCTGAAGTCTAAACTAAGACCTGAGATCCTGAAGGGCACCCTAAATGGGCATTTCCCAAAATTAGGGGTACCATTTTGGGGGTCCCAATAATAAGGATTATAATATTTTGGGGTCTATATTGGGGTCCCCGTATTTTGGGAAACTACCAAATCGAGGAACCCTAGAATGTTTCACGCCTTGCCATCTGAGTCATCTTCTTCTGCAATAGGGCCAATCAGATTGGATTCTGGTTATAGAGCACTACAGCCAAAAGAAGAGGTAGGCATGTCTGAAGTTGGAGGCCCCCTTTATGTACCCAAAAACTATGAGGTGCGACCAAATTTTGGGAAATGCCCTATTTTGCAGACCCTCGTGCCCCTGCTTCACTTACTACTGACTACACCTACTACACATCTTAAGCCCTAAACTCTAAATCCTAAATCTGAGCTGCTGGCCCAAGAGTGTGGCCTTCACCACCGCATAGAGACCCCCACGGAGAGTTTGAACCTCCGGTATGGGTTAGGTGGACCCCCCACCCTGTAATCGTGGTTATAAGGGATAATGAGGATTTTTAAGGTCCTCGTACATCCCCATTATACCACTATCACAGGGTGGGGGGTCCTCCTCAGGTATGAGGCTATGAAATGTGCATGCTATCACAAAGTAACCTCGAGCGCGCCGTTCAGAGGCTTGGGATTTGGGGATTTGGGTTTTGCTTGGATTGCGGGTGGAAGATTAAGGTTACATACCCAAGATCATTTCGCATGTTTTCCGGTTACACGAATGTAACACATAAACATGGCTCAGACTGTAACACGACAAGGTGTTTCCTTTTACATCGTCAATTGATCCTTCTTTAACTTTACGTCCTAAACGCAAACCGCTCCACAAAGCCTAAAACGAAACCCCTAATCCCTGATTCTACACCCTTACTCCTCTAGTCCTACACCGTAAACCCCAAGGCCCATGCATGCCCCAAGCCCTAGGCCCTGTGCCCTCAACCCTAAACCCTCTCATGGGCAGAGGTACCGTGATGACCATCTCCACCGCGTTCCCAAAAGTGGCCTGAGCCGAGTTTGGACTTTGCCCAAATCACTATGCTGAAGCCTATGTGGGAACCAATATTGTGATAGGCACCCAAATACTACGAATAATACTATACTCTATGACATCTACCAGACTCCAAGTAAGAATGTGCTGTAACGTTGCATCTGGCCCTGCTCCTTTCATGGCAAGATTTAGGACGAATAAGCAAGCGTTCCGGCATCAACGGATTCACCAGGACTTTGTGAAGAGGCTCGAGTCCACTATCCCAACTGTATGCGCACACCCTATAGCATCAGTTTCTGCTATATTAATATATACCCACTATACTATAACATACCATAATATACCACAATATACAGCACTATACTAAGATACGATAATATACTATAAGATACCATAATAACTGCAAGATACTACAATATACCATAATATACCATAATCTTCCCTATAGTCTGGACCCTGACGGTGTGAGGAGGCATTGAGGGGCCAGCGTTGATCAGCCCGGCCAGGAGGTCATTCCTCAGGCCAGCTGCCAGCTCCTGCAGTTCAGGGTTTTAGGGTTTTCGGATTTTAGGATTTTAGGATTTTAGGATTTTAGGATTTTAGGGTTTTAGGGTTTTAGGATTTTAGGATTTTAGGAGTTTAGGGTTTTAGGAAATTAGGGTATCAGGGCTTCGAGCTCAGGGGGATAGGGGTGCAGGGTTAGGTTTGAGGGCTATTGGGGTCCAGATTTCAGTGTTAGGGCAGACCTCTGCACGCAACTCTAAAGACCCCTGCCTGCTAACCTAATGTCAGACTAGCAAGAACAGGAGTTACACCAGGGATTTTGATTGGTTTGCTGGGTACAAGACTTCGGTACTTGAAGATTCATTAACCATGGATGAAGATTCATTAACCCTGGAGTAAACCCTAACATCCCAACTCTAAACCCTGTATCCCTAACCTTCATGCCACAACATGAGCCCAATCCCTAGAGCCCCTATAAACCCCCATATTATCCCCTATAATTCCTATATTCCCTATATAACCCCTATCTTATCCCTATATGTATACACACATACATACATATATACCCCTGATAAACCCTGACCTCTGTGATGTCACCCAAGATTTTTGCCATGGGCAGCATGGCCTGGCGAGCAAGTGCAGCACGCTTTCTTTCGTACATGCCAAAAGGCTCTGTTCACCAGGCGATTTTATATCATATTATAGTATATAATGGTATAATATAGTATATTATAGTATAATATACTATACTATGGTATATTATAGTATATTATAGTGACTGTGTTGAATCTCAAGCTTTTGAAGCCCTGGACCCTAAATCCGAAATTTCCATGATGCACAGCTGAGGGAGTCATATCCGTGAATGGCCCCTAAACCAAGCACCCTGATGCACACTCCGCAGGCAAGGGCGCACAAAGAAGTTCAGCCAGAAGGTGTATGCCGGATCCCACCTAGGGAATGAAGGAATTGATGGTTGAGGGACTCAAGGTTAGTTAGGGCTTGAGCATTTAAGGTTTAGGGATACAGGGCTGGAAATTCAGCATTCAGGGAGGCCTGAGGGTTTGGGTTCGGGTTGCGGGTTTTGGGGTTTATAAATCTGGTGGTGCCTCAGGTGGGGTTCCAAGCTTATTTACGGCAGTCGCGCGAGAAACTGTATCAGAATCAGCCTAGGCCTCGTGTGACAAAAGGTGGCATCAGTCACTATCATTGGCATCACCATCATATTGTCATGACTATTTTGCAAATCTTGCTAGACACCGGTAGTGCGGGTATTCTACGTATGAATATCCCTGACATACACTTGACTTAATTTGATTCCTCCTACTGCTGTAGTGTGCTCCTTTGCCGAAGAAATCTCACGAACATCCGGGGCTTCGGCGACAGGTAGTAGGAGCAGACGCCAAAGGGCACACAGACCAAGAAAATGGACAACCTGGCAAGTCCCAGAACCATCAGGGCATGGCTTAGTATATTTTAGTAGATTGTAGTAAACTGTAGTATGTTATAGTATATCTTAAAGTATAATATATTATACTGGGTCTAACAGTCTAGATGCCACTAATGCGGAACCTCCAGAGACTACTGCTGTTGTGATTCAAAGGGACTGTATGGGTCTCCATTTTTGTTTCGAGTGAGTGTATACAAATCAAGTGGCTTCATATGGTGATTCCTTTGGTTTACAGGGACCTGTGTGAGTTCATTGTTAAGTGGCAATCTATGGCGGTTTCCTATGACAAGCGGAGATGCAATCTCAATAGACCCCAAACCCAGTAAGGCAAGGCCGGGCGCGCGGATGCTTGAAAAGGGCGATTACCCCAGTTCCTGGATGGTTGCAGGTGGACGCAGCACGTCTGAGTGGGAGGAGTTGGGTACTCTGCGGAAAACTTGGACTCGCAAATCACAAACTTTGAAAAAATAAACTTGCAGCCCCTGAACACACTGCACTCGACTTCTGATCAGAAAGGAACCATACTACAATATAGTATACTATACTACACAATGATATACGATGATATATTGCAATACATTATAACATACTATAGAATGCTACAATATACCATAATAGCCATAGTGTAGTATAGTAATCTTGAGGTACTCCCAGCTTGCCTTCGAAGTTCGGCGGCTTCTTTGCATTTGTACCTTTCACGAACCTGCAACAACAAGCAGGCTTCCAGCAAGCTTCACACGAGTTCCCGCGCATGACCCTTGGAAATCCTACATGGCGCACGAACACATTGAAGCACCAATTAAACACTCAACCCTGCAAACCCTCCACCCTAAAACTCCTCAACCCCCTGAAAAGAAAACTAAAACCCCTCCATCCTAAATCAAAACCCTCAACCCGAGTATTCCATGTTGGGTGAGTCTGCACTCCCTGGGCTCACCGCCAAAAACCCATCCCAGAACCCTCAAAGAAGGTTCTCAAACTAACTGTAAAACCTAAACCTAAAACCCAAGTCCTGAACCCCCTGCCCTGAACTCTGCATCCTAATCCCTACAACCTAAGCTTGGATCCCTGAACCCAGGTAGGCATCAGTAGCTTGGATGCCTGGTGGTGTTGTGGCGCTCCCCACCTGTAGAGATCCCAAACAAAGAACTTGAAGGGCTCAAGGTTTGGGACATTGGGGTTTTAGTCTTTGGGCTTTCGATGTGTTTCAGATTTGGGGCTTAGGGATTAGGGTTTTGGGGTTGTAGTGTACCAGTCTGAGGAGCCACAGATATCTCAGGCTTGTGAAATATGTCTCAAGGCTTGTGGGGTAGTCATTCACTCCATTCAGGTGTCCTGCCTCTTCTCAACAAGACCTCCCCTCCGTCAGCCATGGCTCTGCCGGCTATCGCCGAAGTTGCAAAGCCTTACTTTGAACTATCAGAAAAACCTTTGGCTCCGGCACCACCTCTGGCACCTGTCCTGAAACTTCTGGCTGTACGCAGCGCAACCTGATGAGACAAGTCTACTTCGAATGTGCATAAACTCCTACACTACAAGATCGTGGTCCGTGCTGCGGTCATTCTCCGGCAAATGCACTCAGCGGCAAGCACTCGGTAGTGCAATCAGTCGGAGTGATCAGGATTGGCGCCCGAAACACAAAACCTTTCATGTTCTCGTGATTTCCAGAGCTCTAGCGAGCCATGCCACATCCTGATCAAATGCGCTTCTTTTGCATTCCTTTATCAGCAGCTGGTTGTTGGAGCCAAGTTGGAGCTCATCGGCGGCGGCTTCGGCTGCGGCTGCTTCGACCTGACAAGGCTCAAGGACTCTGTCCTCATCACGATGGACAATGGTGCCTTTCCTCTTCATTGATATTTACCCCAGAACCAGAGCCCTGATCATAAGCTCTACGCATCAAATGTTGCAGATGAATGCCTCGCACACTCTAAACATTCACAAAGCTCACGGCTGCTTCCACTGGCGCTTCGCTTCCGCCTGTCGCAACCCCGCCCAAGAATACCAAAACCCATTGCCCTCCTAATTACGGATGTGTTCAATATCGTCCCTTCGCATGCCCGCAGAGTTTGTGCAATGTTTCTTGAGAGGGCGTGGGGACATAGGTAGGTGTTAGGTGGTTCCTCTGGGAAAGGACTACCGATACCCCTCCGCAGGTCAGGGGGCTGCGGCGGTGGCAGTGGCTGTTGTTGCGTCGGCATCGTCGCTGAGGCGGGGACTCCGGTGGCGGTGACGGCGGTGGTGGTGGCAGTGGCGGCGGTGGTGGCGGTGGCGGTGGCGACGGTGGCGGGTGATTTTAGGGCTGGTTTTGGTGGTAGTGGTACGGGTCTTGGTAGTGGGCCTGCGTTGTGGTGATGATGGTGGTGATGATGGTGGTGGCGGTGGCGGTGGTGGCGGCGGCGGCGGTGGTGGTGGCGGTGGCAGCGTCAGCGGTAGTGGCAGTGGCAAAGGCAGTGGCAGCGGCAATGACGGTGGCAATGGCAATGACGAGCGGTTGTAGTATAGGATTCCCAAGCCATGATTCTGCCAACCGCCGCTGTGCTGAGGTTATAATGATGCATGCTTGTCCCACAAAGATGCGCGCTCATCACTTCTATGCTTGCATCCAGGCAAGAAGTGTCTGCATATGAACTATAAAATATATGTATATATAAATAAAAAAAACACATCTGATTATATACATGTCTCTACACCAGGTTCTAGAAACGTCTTCCAAAACAAGGAACCCTTAGGCAGCTTGGGGGCCCAAGGGATCTTGTGAGGATCATGTTGAAACGCTTAATGGATAAAACCGCCTTCATTATCAAGGACTCGTATGAAAGAGTGTGACGGAAGTACTGTCCCCAGAAGGAGGGAGATTCCGCACATGAAGGTCTGTATTGGAATCGGCAAACCACAGAAAACCGACCCTGAACTGACATTAAGTCCTAAACCCTGAGCACTCAAACAAACGCATCATGGCTTGCAGTCGTTCGCGGCGTACCTGCGCTTTCTTCCGCTGTCACTCGACTCACATCTCTGCCTCCAGGGGCAAAAGAAATCTCTCCGGGCTCTTGGGTTTTAGGTTTGGGGTGAAAGGCTCATGGCTTGGGGTTTCCAAAAAGTGCGGAGTTTGTGGGTTTGAGGTCGGGGCTTGGGGGTCCAAAGGGGACGAGTCCTCCAGATTGCATGATATGTAAACTCCCATCACCATCATGCCTCAGCTCCACACCGTCATCCCGACACCTTACACTCCCCCAAACTAACATGGAAACCCATATAGCCCCCCTTTTAAAGGACTGTAGTCTTTATAGGGCCCTTTTTGGGTTTCCATGTTAGTTTCCGGGAGTGTAAAACCCCTCAGTCCTGAGCCCTACTCCCAAGTAGTCTGAAAACCCGAAGCTTTATTCGCAAGAGCCCTCAACCCTAAAACACAAAACTGACCCTAAACCCCTAAATAGTAGCTTCCATTTTATTTTACACTATCCCCAATATAACCCCAATATTACCCCCAATATAGCCCCAATAGAACCCCAATATAATCCCAATATAACCCCAATATGACCCCAATATAACCCCAAGATTACCCCAATATAACCCCAATATAATCCCAATAGAACCCCAACATAATCCCAATATAACCCCCAGTGGGTTGAATATGATTCCCTAAACCCTAAACCCCTAAACCCTAAACCCTAAACCCCTAAACCCAAAACCCAAAACCCTAATGTTACCCCCCAATGGGTTCTAACCCTCTGGGTGAGAAGGACTGGAACCCCACCGTGGGCGAGACGATCGGGACCTGGAGCGCCGCCGACGACCTTTTTTCGAAAATATTGGGGTTCTATTGGGGTTTATATTTTATATTGGGGTCATATTGGGGTTTAGGGTTTAGGGTTTCGGGTTTTGGAGTTATATAGGGGCAATATAGTACAGTAGGGAATATTGGGGTTATATTGGGGGTTATAGTGGGGTTTAGGGTTTAGGGTATTGGGGTTTAGGGTTTAGGGGTATTGGGTATATATAGGGGTAATGGAAAAGGGAATGATTAGGGTTAGATTGGGGTTATATAAGGGTAGTGATGACTTGAGGAGGATTTAGGCTCTTTAGGGGGTTGTAGGGTCCCTTTAAAAGGCGTAGATTGGGGGTTAAGATTATAGGGAGATATGGGGTTTCGGGTTGGTGGGCTTAAGGTCTTGGTTTTGCTTAGGACCTGGGGGGGGACGGTCTATTGCAAAAAAAGATCTTGTAAAAAGGTCTTAGTGAAGCCTTTGGCTTTCGGGTTCAGGCTTCACAAGTTGGGGATGAGGCTTTAGGGTTTAACGTTAAGGCACACGAAGCAAGAGACTCCTCCACATTACATGTAAGCTGCCTGTATGTGACTGTATGTGTATATAACACTCATAACTTGAGACTCATGTTGGTCGCAATATGTATCACTACCCTTATATAACCCCAATTTAACCCTAATCATTTTCTTTTCCATTACCCCTATATATACCCAATACCCCTAAACCCTAGACGAAGAGGTAAAAGAAGCAAGCTCACAGGCTCAAACAGCCCAGAAAACGAGCCAAGCAGGCGCCCCGCCCTGTGTGCCGTCTCGCACGTCAAGAGCTCCACAGCTCCCGAACATAGCGTTGCTTAGGGTTTGGGGTTTTAGGGCTGTATAGGGGTTATGTAGGAGCTATATAGGGGCTGTAGGGATAATGCAAAAGAAAAAGGAAACAATTATTTAGGATTGAAGGTTTAGAGTTTAGGGTGGATCCAGATGTGTCCTAGGCCCTCAATCCCGACAACAAGTATCTCAGAAACCTGACGCACTCTGCACATCCACCTGAAGCCCTGAACCCTAAACTCCAACCCAAAACCCTGAATCATAAACCCTCCATCCCACCACTCTGACTCACTCTGAACAAAAGCAGTATCAAAAAAAAAGAAAAGAGAGTATCCCCAAAAAAGTACCCAAAACTAAGTCTTTGTTTTCACTCCAACCATACCAAAAAAAAACGACAAAAAAAAGTAGGGACCTGTGTGAGCCCCGCCTCGGCTGGTGGATCTTCTGCGCCTGGATCTGGACTTCTTTCGCCTAAGAACAGAGGAGAGGCAGCGTACACATTGTATAGGGTTTTGGGTTCGAAGGGTTATATAGGGGATATATGGTTCCATTGTAGGGTTTAGGGTTTAAAGTTGGATATGAGGATATATGGATCCATATATATATATATATGGTTTAGGGTTTAGGGGTTTAGGGTTTAGGGCTTAGGGGTTTCCAAAACTAGGGGCACCTCTTGAGGGTCCCCATCCTACGGATCATAGCTTATTGCGGTCTACATTGGGGTCTAGGGTCCGGTATGTCAGTGTCAATGCATATCCGGGGTCCCGACAGCGGCTCAAACCAACCTATACCCAAAACCGTACATCCCAAACCCTAATTCCTCAACTAAACCGTACTCCCTGAACCCCGACCTACACAGTGCATCCGTGAAATGTCAGGACAGATCTGTACCATTTCCTGCAAGGAATGCAGGAGTATAGGACTTCTTATTGGAGAAAAAATGGGGTGGGCTACTTTAGAGACCCATTCCGCCTCTGCCGAGAAAACCCTAACTCTAAACCTAAAATGGTACTGTAGTTTCCATGTTCTTCTCCAATCCTTAATGCTTAAACCCTAAGCCTTTCACCTATACCCACTACCAACTACCAAGGAGGAGAAAAAAGTAAGTGTCGGGCTTTCCATCGTCTCGCGCCGTTTCCGCACGGGCCTCTTGCATTAAAGGGCTTGCAGTAGGAAATTTTGAGGAGCTTGGGTGTACAGAGATTGGGGCTTGGGGTCTACACAGCCCTCGAAGTGCATGGTGATGAGTCATGTCGATGGAGCTTTAAGCCCAAGTTCCACATCTGGCAACACCGCTGCGAGTCCACACAGGGTGTACCAAGCCTGTACTGAACATCCGATGACGAAGATTGGGGTGGCACTGTGGGCTAGATGAGTGTAAGGCGGGGTGGAAAGAATCTAGCACTCACCCTTTCTGCAAAGTGCTTTTCAGGTTTAAGTGTTCATTTCACTTGTGTACTTGTTTTGGGGGTTTCGCGTTTTGGCGCGTGGGCTGCGCTTTGGGATCTTCAGCACAGACTGGTCGGGTTCAGGGCTACGGGCGGGAGCTCAACTCCTCCCCAAACCCCTAAATCCCTAAACCCAAACTCGAAAGTCCCAAACCCCTAGAACCCAACCTCCTTAATCCTACACCTTGACGACCCAACCCCCTAAACCCAAAACCCCTAAGCCCCCAATCCCAAATGCAAGAAAACCCTAAACCCCTATACCCTAAACCCTAAATAGCAGTTTCCATTTTCTTTTCCATTATCCCTGTAATAAACCCCAATATAACCTAGAATAATGGCGTCCAAGGCCTCCTCCCTGCTTCGGTTGGCTTTGGAGACTGTGAGAGTGCTGCCCTGGGCGCTCAGCTCGCCGCTGACTCTAAGCTGGCCATGAACTTACTAGGGGTTAGTAGGGAATAAGGGAACATGCTATATACGGTTTAGGCCTAGGGTTTAGGATAAAGGGTTTAGAGTTTAGCGTTTAGGGAATCTCTGTGCGAGTTTGGAGCTGACAGGGAGAGGTTGAGGGCCCCATAGAAAAGAGTACTCTGCCCAAACAAATTGTCTGACAACGCCGCATCTAAGAACACCATGCGATGATGGCAAGGTTTTCTCAAAATGGACAGATATCCCTAATCAGTTATCATCAGAAGCACTATATACACGCACTCCAAAGTATGAAAACTATCTCGTATACCATGATGCAGACCTGCCTCAAACTTCGTGCCATTCATCTCCTTTATTGCCTGCAGGAGGCTGGAGAGTCACACTCAACTGCTGGGGTAGGGAAACCTTTGGGACCCCAGGGACATCATGCCATGCAATGCCTGTTCGGGGCTATGTTACAATAATTCTGCACTCCCAAGCGCATCTACAAGCTGGGCGCCACGACAAGCCCCAGAACCCTGAGCCCTAAACCCTGGGCTCCATCCAAATCCTTGTTCCGGATAAAACAGACCGCGTCGCAGGAACCAGGCTCTAGGATGAAGGGCTTGGTTTGGAATATGGGGTAAAAATAAGGTTTTCTTGGGGTTATAGGGGAATAGTGGAAAAGAAAATGGAACCTACTCTAAAGTATATTGGGGTTATATGGGAATAATGGAAAAGAAAATGGAAACTACTATCTAAGGTTTTGGGATTGGAGGCTTAAGCCGTCAGGGCTTGGACGACGACTGGCATGCCCTGTGCAAACCCTTAACAACTAAAACCCTTTTAGGTAGGAAGTGTTCTGGTATGTTCTGCTGTCTTCTGGCACTGGATGAAATTGAAGACGTGCCTCTTTTGCGTCGGAGTCATCAAGGAATCTCACGAACGCAAATGGCCGAGGCCTTTCAAGGTTAAAATTTGGGGCTTAGGGTGCAGCCTTGCGCAGGCTACCATCTTTAAATTACAGGTGCCTTCCTGAAGGGAATTCTATGGGGAGTCTGGCAAGAGGACTGGGGAGTAATGCAACGTTTGCAGGACCAGCACTTCTTGTGAACTGATGTTGGGTGTCCGCATCCCTGATTTTGGGAAACCCCCACATGGGCCTGTCAGAAAACCTCTCGCGGGGCACAAAGACGTCTCCGATGTCGCCAAATCTGAGCGCAGCAAGAGCTTGAGTCTAAACTCCCTCGAGGGTGTAGGGGAGCATTACAAGGCTTATTAAGGGGGATACTAGTAGGTGAGACTATAGCTCATATTTGCTTAGGATGTAGTGTTAGGGGTGGGGTCATGAGTGAAGAGATCAGGGCTATGGCATTTTGAATAGAGTTTGGGGGCCCTGAGGAAATCTGCAGTACATACAGTCAGCACACAAAAAGGTTCGCGGGCTTGCTTTGAGAATCGAGTGGAATCATGTAGGGTCCCTTGTTCATGTAAAGCATTGTAAGACGTGTTTGACCAGCACCCACATGAACACACAAAGCTTGTTCATGGCGGAAACACCAGGGAATCTCCAAATCCCAGACCCGTGAGAGGATCCATAACTCCCCGTACCCACGCGTTGAGGTGCAGTGGATATTGTTCAACAGGCCGGGGACAAAATTGCACTTAGCATCCGTTCGTTCAAGACTCACAGGGGTCTCACTCAAACATCTTACGGAGGGGGGGGGGGTTCATCCGCAGAAACTTAATTTCAGGCTGCAGCAGTCATCCCCCGCGACAGGGTTTGGGGCTTCAGCATACCGAAACTGAAACCACAATAACATGAAGCCCTTTTGTCATGTGGCCAGTCAACCTTCTTGCCACTCAAGTGACTTTTTCTTTTTGTGATTTGCGCATTTCCAAAAACGAGGGGGAGCTCCCTTGAACCTTTCGAAAGACCATCATCCTAAACCTGAACCCACAACCCTGGAATTGAGGGCTCCCAACAAAGGACCCCTGATGCCTGGAAACCTCAAGTTAGCCTACCCTAAACCCTGAACCCTAAACCCTGAGGCAGGTAAGCGGCTTCTCGAAGGACTTGCGGAGTTCTTCGGCAGTCCAGTTCTCCGGAATTTGTCCCGTCACGTCCACCTTTGACAGTTCAGGGTCTATGGTTTGCAGATAAGCAAGAAACTCAACCAACCCCAAAACACAACCCACAGGGTGTTGAGAAGCCCCCATGAAAGGTGATGCATGGCAGGCAGCCAGGCATTCAGGCACTGGGGCGCGGGCCTTCAATGATGTCCTTAGTCTCAAGAAATGAGCAGCCTTACATTTCACCTGACGCTGGCCACTCCTATGAGGGGGGACCTACAAAGGCACAAGAACATAAGGATCCTCTCGAACCTAAAGCCCAAACCGCCTTGACCCTTATTCCATGCACCCCTAAACCCGAGGATCCTTCTCTGTTTCTGTTGTCCTTTGGGTCCACTCAATGGCTTCCGAGGAGCATTCCCGAGATGTCCGGCAGGCCACCTACACCAGCAACAGATCTGCAACATAATGCTAGATCTCTCTAGCATTTAGGACTTTTAGTACGATTATTGCTGCTAGTATTCGGGTTTGGGGTTTAGGATCTGGGTTTATGTTTTAGTGTGTAGGGTTACTGGTGAGGTTTGGGGTGTACAGTTTAATCAGGCCCAACCGATATAATCACCCACCTCTCTAATAACAAGAACTCAGCATGCGGCACCATTCCGTGTGGGAATGTGGGTCTTTACGGCGTGTGCTATGTTACTGGAGGTAATTCATCCTAGTGGCCAAATCAGTTGCGCCTTGTTGTAGCCCCCATTGCCGCGCCCTCAATACGACTGTTTGTCTCTACTATGCCTGTATCAACTTTATCAGTTGCCGCCAATCACTGCCACACACCAACATCCGTGAAAAGAGCCGATATACTCCCTGCGCCCCATCACTTTCAGGCAAACACAAGATCCTACCCTGCCCTAACCCCCGCCCCACACATGAAGCCCAACCAACCAACAAAACAGCGGCCTCCGGGCGCCATGATGGGCAAACCCTAACCCGGCTGCAGCTCAGCCTACTGGAGATCCTTATAAGTGGGCTCCTCCAAAGTGAGGGTGCCCTTCAATACCCCCAGGAGATAGAGGGGCTGTGGGGGGATGATAGAGGTCCCTCTTGAGGACCCCGTTGCAGATTTTTGAGCAAAGACCTATACTACCAAACCTAGGTTGATGTAACCACTAACTAGGCTTCTGAAAATGAAGTTCCCCTATTTCCCCAAGAACATGTTGAGCCGAGGTCTGCGGTGAACGAGAAATCTTCCGTTCAGACACTGACAGCATGGGGCACTCCTTTTTCTGGCTCGGTTGCTGGCTCTGGGACCTACAATAGAGGCCCGGAGAATAAGATATCTCTTGGATACCGTTAACTTGAACGACGCCATGATACAAACATAACGCGGGAATCTTGTCATCGGGGGAGGACATTGAATAATTACTGACAGAGATGACGGAAGAGTATGCTAGAAACAGCAGAAAGGGCCCCCGTAATCCCCTCTAATCTCCACATACCCCGGCAAGACCCGCAATCTTGAGTAGTACCACATTATCCATTATCCAGGCTTCTACACTACAAACACTTCTGCACAGCATGCACAGGCAGCGCAGCTGCACGCAGAGATTCCCGACAGCCCGCGACCGAGCGGTGAAACGAGACCCCAGGCATCCTGGGATCAACTTTAAATCCTGGACACTACACACAAGACCCAGGGCTGTAAATGCTAGGCTTGGATTTGAAATCAGAAACTGAAGGGGGTCTCTTTTGCGATTCCTTACACGGATTCAGGGCACCTCTTGGTAAACGTCACATTCTGAATTGTGACAGTGCATACAACAGCTAGCTTGGAGGATGTCGGGCTTTGGAACTGGGGATACAGGGGTTCAGACTTTGAGCTCGGGGTAGGACCTTAACCCCAAACTCAAGCAGCTTCATTTCAGAATTTCCAGCATGCCCCCCTCCGGGCCGCCGTACAGAAGCTCTAAACACCTGAGCAGCAAAGTCGTGCTTTGTAAACATTCCTGGTACTGGTAGGGTTTAGGGGTGTATGGCAGCTTCGAGCAGTTGAGGATGAAATCAACTGGTGAGGCTCACATTGCTCCCTCACTGGCACCCCCCCAAAAGGAACGAAACCCCAGTGCTCAAACCCGAAGAGCTCAGCCTTACCAAAACACAACTCTGGAAGCCCGAGGCCCGCAGCCTGTCTTGCTTGTCCTTCAGCCACTGCGGCATGTCCTTTTGCGCTGAGCGGGCCGTTCCGAAAGCTTTTGTTCACAGGACCTTTTCTAGGAAAGCTTACAAACTAGGTCCAAGCACGAGGGTTCAGGGCATAGGGTTTATCACAACTCCCTCGGCTTTCAAAACTAACTCCTAAAACACAGTGGCCAGGAAACCCTCCCGACAGCAGTTGTTGAGAACCAAATTTGCTCGTGGTACCCCACTCGCGCACAGCAGAGTTTAGATAGAAATTAAGAGACTTGATGCCTTAAGACGTACGTAAGCAATACGCTAAAACCTAGATGGTAATGACGCTGCCACGACTTCAAGAACAGTCTGAAAATTGTTGTCACTGTTCAGCCACCTTGTACTTACCGTCAGCATGAAATCTGAGAATGAACATTTAAGGGGCTACTGTTCGTTCATCAGGGGCCTGTGTGGGGCCTCCATGTTAGGTACAAGACTACTGAAGCATGCTGAGCAGGGACCCCCATAATCTATGTGTAATTCATATATGTTTCTACAGTGGCTGATAGCCCCGAACTTCGAGAACCCCCCAACCCCAATCCCAAACCCTAAACCCCTATTCCCTAAACCTGCAAGCCTAAAACCTTAAAGCCCTCTTTCTTGTGACCTTCATTCTGCCTTCCCTTCATATCCTTGCCAGTTCGGCCCGCATGTTCCCGGATGGCGGCAGTCATCTCCCGGACGCCCTGCTCGTTGCCCTCAGAGCACAGGAAGGGATGTAAGATAAGCTCAATAATTTTGCGGATTCAATGGTTAGGGTTTGAATGGATGTTTAAGGGTTTTGAGCGTAAAGGCTTAAGGGTTGGGAATCACCTGGAGAATGATCATTGATGATAACTGTACTGTCCTGCGCATTATGAATGGAAATCTACAAAATACAACGCCGGCGACAATGACACAGTGGACATGCAGAGATTTTCGGGGCCTATCCTATCTTAAATCCTGCCCGGAATCCTAAATCGGTATTATACCCCTTGAAACCCTTAAATCCCCCCTACAACCCCTTGAAACCGTTGAATATCCCTTAAAACCTTGCTTAACACCCACTTCAAGCCCTTGCAGCTGAAGCCCTAAGCATGCCTCGAAGCCCCACTTTTCGAGCACTGGCTTCTGAACTTCAAAAGCCACATCCTGAAGCATCTGTGGCCAGTCAGGGCTTAGGGTGGAAGGAATTCAACTTCAGCAGTTTAAGGCCGAAAGGGATTAAGGAAACTCGGGTCCTTCTTCATGTCTGGTGCTCTAGGAATGAACTATTGGGTTCTGTACGTTCGTAAACTCGTTGGGCAGCAGGTCTGCAATGACTTACCAGATGCAGTCTGTCGGGTTTAGCTCTTAGGTTCAGGTCCTCGGGTGTTAGGGTCTGCTGGGTTTAGGTCCCCTGGCGTGCCTTCAAGCGCATCAAGAAGACGGAGCGTTCAAAACCCGAGTCTCGAGCACATTTGCGGACCCTTTCCTGGCCAGTCACTCGAAGCTCTCAAAAGCTTGATACCCTACTATAGTAGTTTCCATGTTATTTTCCATTAGTATTACCCCATTATAACCCCAATATACTATAGTAGTTTCCATCTGGTTGTTGCAAGGGCCCCTCTCAGCAACACGGCCTCCTGGTATGCAGGAAGCCTATGAGCCTGACTGCCCCACGCAAAGAGCTCAATGTAGGGAAACGGCAGAGAGGTTCACTACCTAGGCTTGAAAGTCACCCCCGAGGGTTCAAACTTCCAATCCTGAACTCTAAACCCTAAACGTACTCCCTTCAGCCCCTAAGCCCTTCGTTTTGCACTCTGTCCGAAGCATGTCAGGTGGACCTGGAACCATTTCTGACCTCAGGGCCAAACGTCTGGCAGACGCTCTGCTTCGGGATCATTCTATAGTGTGCCAATATCTTCATACATATATGTATACGTATATCTGTACATCTACATATAAACGAATACACATGCATCTGCATGCAAATGTATATTTAGATTTGTTGTTATAAGCACGCAGAAAGAGGCCGCGAGCAGATCTGGAGGTATATGTACATGTGTATATGTTTCATATATATATATGTACATACATATATTTACATACATACATACATACATACATACATACATACATAAATATATATATATATGTACATACATATGTGTATATATATATATGTATAGGACTGTGCAGTCTTTGTGCGGGGCGTATCAGAAACCCACTCTTGACAACAGCTGCTGTTGGCTGATGGACGAAATGCTGCATGACCCTGACTACGCAATACTAGGATTTATGTAACATACGATAAGTAGTGTCACTCAGGATTTGATCTTTGGCTGTAGCTAGCTTAATGAGCTTTCCAGAACAAACCGAGGACGCCACCATACGCCGCCGCCAGCTCGTCCATCAAGTCTCCAGCCTTTGGGGTTTGGAGTTTGATGTTAGGGGATTTGGATTTGGGTTTAAGGGATTAGGGTTTAGGGTTCAGGGTTTAGAGCTGCTTGCGAGCCGCAGTTGAAAAGCAAGCGGATTCGCACAACTGGGGTACAGTACAGTAGGAGGAACAATTACCTAAGAAATTGCCTTAGAAGCTTAGAAGTCTCTCAGATCCCCTGCATAAACTCTGACATAATCCCCATGTAGCCTTGATAGAACCCCTTTATAACCCGTAGTGCCTTTTTAAGACGTAGCAAGCTTAGCACGCGCCGAGACAAGCGCCAGTGCCGCTGTCAAGTGGATCTTCCTCTCCAACGGCCGTGCTTGCGCCTGCGACAATGTAACCCACACACTATGCAAGTATGTACAAATTTATACAAATACACATGGGCAAATACAAGTGTCTATATATGTATATATATCTATATATACATAATGTGCGCATAGATGAGTGAGGACGAGAAATATGATGGATAGGATAGGACACCATACAGAGATAGACGGGGAGATAGATGGAAAGATAGACGGAGATATAGATAAGTGGAGGCCAATGGACGAATAGATAGACCAGGAGAGAAAGAAAGTCCATTCTGTTGACTCACTTTATCACATGGAGGGAGTCCATCTAAATGGCAGCATGTTACAACGCCTAGAACATCGCATGCAACCTTCGAGAAACCCGAAATATCTATTTACAACCTTTTCCCCTCAAACCCCCAATGTTGCAACTCAAAGCTGGGTTGTTGAATCCCTTCGGGCACGTCATAGGCCTCGATGCTCTTCCTCTGCTCAGTCGTCACCTTTTTAGGGCTTTGTGCGCATAGAGCTTTAGGATCTCAATCTAGAGTTTTGAGCTTACGTTTACAGTTTGAGGTGCAGGGCTTAAGGCTCTTCACATGCTCTAAGGCAAAGGGCAACAAGTCGGAACTATGAATTCAGCATGACTTGAGCGTGCCTTCCTGCGTTTGTGCGTTTTGGGGTTGGGGTACTTAGTGGTGCTCTAATTCCAATAGCTACTGTCTGTAGGTTTGAAGAATGGAACTAGCCTCTGACATGGGACCTTAGCTTGCTTGGGGATGTAAAGAATATTCAGAATATCACAGGTATACAGGGACGAAACAAGTACCTGGGCCTGAGACCTTGTGCAGATGGAACAACAACTTTCGGAACCAACAGTTGGCAAAAGCTGCTCATACGAAACCCACTTGCCAAACCGCCATGACTCTCCACCCGTCCAGACTCTCCACCATAAACCAAACCTTCCTCAACCCTAAGTAGCAGTTTCAATTTTCTTTTCCCTTCTCCCTATATATATACACACTAATTTAATAGTTTCCATTATGTGTTCCATTATCCTTATATAAATGAGGAAGGGCCTCAGGCCCCAAGGGACCGGGCCACAGTGCCGATGTTTAAACCTAAATACCAGCGCCCTAAACCTCAAACCCCTGGTGCCCGCGCATCAAGCTTGACCATGGATTCTGATCCTGGCTTCCTAAACCCTAAACCATCATCCCGATAAGTTTTAAGGACAACACTCATGCACTTTCATTTGCAAAAAAAATGCTTGTCTTGGGGCTGGGGCTGCCTGCACCTGTGATGGTGGTTCTTCGAGCTTCTTGGCTGCCTGTACCAAGGGTTTGGAGTTTTAGGGATCTTGGGGTTTGAGGTTTTTGGTTTAGGGCTTAGGGTTTAGGGTTTAGGGTTCTTGGGGTTTGGGTTTTTTGGTGGGGTTTGGGGGGTTGAGTGTAGAATGGGACTCTTTGCAGGTTTACATCGGAGGCCAATACGTAATTTTTCAGGATTACTTGTCCTTCTCAGGGATTACACACGGAGTACACGGCTATGTATCAGAAAGGCTTCAGACGGTTGGGATAGGTCGAGACTTGTATCCAGGCCTCCTCCAACTCACGATCCCTGTCAATGCTGAAGACGCCAGCCTGCAAGACACTCTGCAGGGAGCAGTGGTACAAATGCGGCTGCACGTGAACAATCACAAAGGCATCAACGGTTTACGTGGAATTCTCTGTCGGCGCAGTGACAAATGCCGCGCCTATACAGAAAAACTCCTCGCAGAGAATTTCCCAATACATAGGTAAGGGCTGTGGAAATTGTCAGTGAATTCTCGTGGTGCTGCAGAAGGATCATCTGCGATCCTTAGTGTGGAATGGCCGCAGGATGAGAACCCACCCCTCTTCCTACAGCCTCGAACAGTAAGAGTCAGCGATGTCCCGTGTGAGCCTTGAACGGCATAACGGCAGAGAGTGACAGAGTGACAGAAAGTAGGCCAACAATAACGTGTGGTTTGCACATGTCCACTTTGCCTCTGAGCTCAGCATCGCTCTTAGATCCAGCAGTTGTCATATCCAGATGTAGCTGGCCCCCCTTCCCCCGATTGCTATTGGCGGCGCACCTTGAAGCTTAAGCCCTTAGCTCTAAACCTCCACCCTCAAAGTTAAACCCTACACACAAGCCCTCAGACCTGAAACTTCGCAGCTGAACCTAGTTCAAACTCTGAACCCCAAGCCCCAACCCCCGACTCAACAGCCCACTCTCTAAATCCTGAACCCTACTACAGATACCCGATGTGAACACCAACATAACCGCTAAATGCCCTCCTTTTTTTTGAACCCCGACTTTCATCCCCAGCTTCAGCCTCGAAAGCTCGGCCCAACATTTCCTGGGTCGACTGACGATGCTTCACTCTCGCCACCTTGATCCTGGAGCCATGGGAAGAAGCGTGGGGGAAGAGGGCTGGCGGGTTTCGGCGGGGTAGGATGAAGTAGATGTGTTAGAGCGAACCCTCTAATGCCCTAGGCCGCATCTGCATACAGCGAGCAGCGACGCTCGGTGGGTCATGTAGGGCTATTCAGGGTCAAGAAGAGCTTTTGCTTTAGGGGTGTTAAAGGGTTCAGAAGTAAAAGAGGGTTAAAGATTTAGGTATATTTCGGTGATTTAAGTGCTTTGGTGGTTTTAAGGGTTTAGGGTCTGGGCGTTTACCGTTTTGGTGGGTTTTAGGCTTTGGGGATTGAAGGTGTTGAGTCCCGAGCATGTGGTGTGAAGTTGCTCAACATAGGCTTTAGGGTTTAGGTCTCTAGGATTCGCAGCTGAATCCTAATCTTTAACTCTCGATCAGGACCTAGGTTTACCCGAGGTGCCCTCGGAAATTCTACGCCTACGTCGGCATAAAATCGCCCCGGGAAGCCGTCTTCCTGTCAGGATTAGGGACTTTGGGAAAACTCCCATGTGTGCTGCAAATGCACGCATCAAAGGTATGGTGCTTGATATAAACCTACAGAGACTGTCTCACCATCTCCAGCATTGTCGCATGCCAACCTTTGACACACTTCTCCCATTTGCAAAATTTGAAAGCCCAAACTTCCCAAACCCGGAACCCTAAACCCCTCAACCCCGAACCCTCTGCCAAAGCCCACAGCTCTAATCCCCCAAGAATCCTAAAAACCCCTGCAACCTAAACCCTAAACCCTCAACCCTAAACCCCTAAACCCAAAGCAACCCTTGGCCACATAAAAAGGCCGCCTCTTCCTCTCTGCCTCGCAGTCTCGCAGGATCCGCCTCCTGTCCGGGCCTTAGTCTTGGTCTTGGTCTTGTTGCACACAATATTAATATTATGATAATTAGTGGTTATTGTTCCTGTTATTATTACGAATAATATTACTGTTCTTATTACTAGGCCTTGGTCTTGGGTGTTGCACACAAGGCTTTGGGCCGTTGGTTTAGGATTTCGGGGGTTGGGCATCTAGGATGCTGTGTTTAGGGTTTGGGCTTAGGATAATTTAGGATCTGAGGTGTTAGCATGCAGCTGCAGGCCTCGTCTTGTGCTGGCTCGAAAACCAGGGGCTTCAATGGGCGGAGCTTCAGGGAAACTAACACTCTCCGCTTTACCCTGAACCCTAAACGCTGAGCCCCCAACCCTGAACCCTAAATCCTCAGCCCTAAACCTTACACACCGAATCCCGTACCCTAACTCCTAAACATATCTTGAACAATCCTAAATCCTTTCAATAGGGTTGCTGGGCGCGCAGACACCACTGAGCGACATCCTCCAGCTTGGCAAGGGAGTCCTCGGCCTGCGCCACGATTTATGGGGTTTTGAGCATTCTAGAACCAAGGGCTTAAGGTAATGGGGTTATATAGGGATAATGGAAAACGAAATGGAAACTACTGTTTAGGGTTCAAAGTTTAGAGTTGTCATAGGGCACCATACACCCCCCCCCACACATACCCCCCCCAAATCCTTGTAGAGGCGACAACTTGCTGATCAATGCTTTACATGGAAAACTAGATTCTCCAGTTTGCATCCTAATGACTCCTGAGTGTTCTGGGTGCATGGAACTCCCAGGCTTGAGACCCTATCCGATTCCCTTCTTTTTCGGGTGTCAGCAAAAACGAATCATGCTTTGTTGGTACGTAGCGGGCAATGTCTGCATCAGAGGGCCTCAGATGCATCCGAAATGTTGTCCATGCCAGGCTAATCCAAGTTTATTATAGCATTCATACCCCCTAGGCTAAAGGCTTCGGTGCGGTTAGGCTTTGGCCCTACTGAAATCTAGGCTCCAGGCCAAGGGGAGGCATGGGGGGTAGGGGGGTGTGGATGGGGGTTTGTGGGAAGGGGCCAGTACAAGATCTGGCTAGGGGGATAGGGCGGCAAATTGTTCCCAACCCCCCATCCCTCTAGTGGACCCCTTCCCATGACCCCCAGCCCCCCCGTTCGGGACCTGCAAGGGCGTCCAACCCTGGCAGCTAGGGCCCAGCCTCGGGCCCCTTACCCACCTTGGATGCGCTCTGGAACGCATGTCAGAATATCAGGGCAGCTGTTGCTGCTTCCGCAAAGTTTCTGGAGGTTCTGAGAGGCTATATTTTCATTCATGAAGATTGCCATCTTCGCATGACATCATGATCCTTCTCCAGCACCGTCATCATCGCTGGATGCCATGAACCCTATTCTGGCGCCCGTCATTTATCAAGCTACATTAACTTGACTACATGAGGACTCGTGACACTAGGTCTTTGTCTTCTATCTGAGAATGAAATGCGAACACTGTAGTAGATCTTGAAACTTTGCAATATGGCTCCGAAACCTATCCATGAGTCATATGCTGCGGTGAGCACTCGGGGACCTGGGCAATGGCAGATAAGGGTTAGTGGACGTGGGGTTTTCCAAGGATTTGGCTTTGTCCAATAGAGGCAAATAGCGTCTAATAAGAACTAATAGTTTCCGATACCCGGGGCACTGCCCAGAACCTATTGGAAGATAATAGTGCCTAATAGCATCCAATAGTGCCTGATAGTCTCATTGTAGGGTTTTGGTTACATTGCAAGAATAAAGGACAGGTCTCTGAACTGGGGGTGTCTGGCTTCGTATGAAGTTGGGGCCTTAGGGCTTGGAGTTTAGGGTTTGCGTAGGGTTTGGAGCTTAGTGTTTGGAGTTTAGTTGTAGGGGTTTAGGGTGTTCATGGGGGGAGATATGGGAGCTCCCGGGAGAACTCCTAACCACTAACCAGGCGGCATGCCTTCCTGGGGGTCCTCGGACCAGCGACTGAATCGCTACTGGGAATAAGTACGTAGTCGGACCCATCTTTCAAGAATAAGCTATAAGCCGAATAGATGCCGCGTCTTCATTTGCAATTGAATCCCGAAACCTAATGCCCTCACAATTTCACCCCCAGGGCCTCTTTGAATCTTCCCAAGCCTTTTTCTGCTTGCACTCTCCTGGCGTCGGCCAACACTCTCGCAGCACGGCCAACGCTCAACCATCTGGTCGTTCAGGGTTTATTGCTTAGGGCTCAGGATTAGGAATGAAACAATAACAGTTGTTTGGATCAGGATCAAGTACCATCCTATGTTGCGGCTGCTTTGCAAGACACTGGTTGTTGAAACCCGCCCCAAACCCCAAGCCTGAAACCCTTCACTCTCATCCATGGAGCCTGGGCCCTCAACCCTACTCCCTGGCATTGCGTCTCTGAACCCTAACCCGATCTGGTCTGTTTGCTCCTGTACCAGGCTTTGTGGTCTTCGGAATCAATGGCAAGTGCCGCTTCTGAGGCGTCCTGCACCAAGAGCAGCTTTCCCAGAGGGTTTTAGGTTTAGGGTTTAGGGTTCGGGTTAAAGGGTGGAGGGATTAGTATGGTATGAAGGTACTTGTGAAGATTGGTATGTCATCATCCGTTCAGGATCAATACTCCGGCGAGCTGCTTCATCTACACTTTTCCCAAGTTCTTAGCTTGCAAGATCCCCACCGCAGGCCTCACATCCTAAACCACCCTCAAGCTGTCATCCCTGCATAACCTATACCCCAACCCGTGGACGACAAACATCCCACCAAAAACACCTTCTCCCCTCGCCTGACCTTTAACACCTCCACCCATCGTATTGAGTCTTGAGCATGTCTCCTCATACACTCAGTTTCACATACGGTCTGTCTTGTCTCAGGGTTGGGAGCCTGCAAAACAAAAACGAAGCAGAAACCAACATCCTGAACGACCAGCACCGCCGATAGATAGCATAGCAAAAGGCTGGGTGGCTGCTAAGGAACCTAAATGAACTTACCGAAAATATGGGCATATAGTAAAGAATCGGGTCTGCCTATTATAGTAACCAAAATGGGCGTGTGTCGATATATATATATATATACTAATATGCTTTCTGTAGCTTAATCAAAGTTCCTTGACAGCAACCCAGAAAGACGACATATCGGAGGGTCCAAGGCTGTCTGGAAGAGCTCCAACTTCAGCGCGGCTTGTGCCTTGTTCCTGGCTGCGAGGCATGAGCTTTAAAGAGGGAGTCTGTATCCTCATATCCCCCTAACTAAATCCCTAGTATAGGGTTTAGGGTGTAGGATCTAGACCCCTAGTATCCCCCATAATAACCGCTATAATACTCCCCCTATACAATCCCTTTAATATAAGCCCCTTTTGAAGAGTTTAGATTATGGCTCATATGTACATATACACATATATATATATATGTTAAAGGCACAAACAAATAGATCCAGGGGGGGCACCATATGCATGCATGCATGCATGCATGCATGCATGCATACATACATACATACATACATACATACATACATACATGTGGGTACAAAGGTTGGAGGGTTACTTTATTCCTAGTCAAAGCTTTAAGGCACGCACAAGGTACACGAAGTCTATCAGAGAACAAGCAGGGCTCACTTCAAGCATGCCAGGTGGTAGTCTTTCATCCACTTCTCCTCGTTCTTCAAGTGCTTGGCGACCTTGACCACAAAGTTTAGGGATAAGGGAGTAGGGTACGGGGATAGCATTGAGATTTGACATTGGAAGAATAATGTCAGAGTTAAATAGGGGTTGTTTGGGGATGGACGCAGGCTTGTTCGGGGGTTACCCCCCAACATTAGCTGAGGGAGGCTTCGGGAGCAGGCAATGGATGTCCAAAACGGTCAGCAAGCTTGATTCAGCCGCCTAAAGAATTGGCAAGGTCCAGTCCAGCTTTGTATGGGCTTAGACGCGACATAAAGCATAGGCGGCGTAGGCGCTTTGCTTGGGATCTGTGGGGCTTGTATAGGGTTGTGTTCTGTATCTGCTGTATATATATATATATGTACATGTACATACGAGTAATTTTCCATCAATAAGGACCCTTTCTGACCAGAAACCCCGTATGATACCTGCACATCCCCAGGGGATCTCACCTGTTTGTCCAAAACCCTATCTGGGTTTTCATCGGAAGAACGCGTCTCTCTCTAAAACGTCAGGCCTAAAACCTAAAACATGCCTGAATGGAAAACCAAAAGCCAAAAAAAACACCATATCAAATCCTAAATGCACAGACTGCAAGTCCTAAACTCTCAACCCCAAGACCTCAAAATGCGGCCTTCCACTTCTTCATGGCGTCGTCCGCTTGCGAGTAAATGTGAAGTGCCTCTTCAGGATCTAGTTAGGGTAAGGGCATGGCTGCCTTAACCGCCCAGGAAAAAGAAAAAGTGACTGGGCCCAACGCGACATAGGTGCAAATGCACGGCAGGTCTGGTTGGTTTGCGAAAGAATCTCAAGGAACACTCATGAACAAGATCCATGCTCCTTTGTTACTTGCGCCAATCTGCTACCACTTTAGGAATGCTTAAGCACTAAACCATGATGCCAGAAACCCAACAAGTTCATCTTAACCCGTACTTCCTAAACCCTCAACCATCAACCTCTGCTATTCCCGAAACTGAATTTGCCTGGCCTCTTCGTACAGTCCCTCCTGGAACTTGAGGTTCCCCTCACGCTTGCACTCCTGGCATCCGTCCGGCATATGGGTACGGTGTCCATATATGGGGGTTATATAGGGGTTCTGTTGGGATAATGGAAAAGAAAATAGAAACTATTTAGGGTTTAGGGTAAGTTTAGGGTCTGGGTCTTGGATCTTTCTTTACAAGACCCTTTTGCCGCCTGCATGACCATGAACCTTGCGTCAAGGCGAAGTTTTGGGGTTTAGAGCTTCGTGTTCAGGACTTCGGGATCAAAAGCATTAGGAGGGTCAATACAATCTCAGAACTTTTTATACACTTACTTAGCATGTCGCTAGCCATGAGTCTCTATAACTTGCGGGTTTAGGGGGGACCGGCAGAGCTTGGTTTAGCGCAATGAAAACCACAAAGGATTATCGTAGGTATAGTAAGGCGCTATTAACTCCATATTTAGGGGCTATTACTGACTTAAGGGAGACCCTAAGATCTTTGGACATAGACAACTGAAACTTTCGCAGAGTGCCTTGCTACACAACATTTCTTGGGTTGGTCCCCGCCGCGTGTTCTACATTTTACAAGGTGTCAGAAATCTCCAGAAGTGGAAAGAAAGTGCTAGGTTCTACCGGTTCTACCGGATGGTCATGCAAGTGCTGTATGGATGACAACTTCAGCAGCAACCTGGCATGACCGACATGACCTAAACCAAAAGAAGCTCAAAAGGCTCCTGCGCGTACTCGAGCACATGCTTCAAGGTGTGGATGTCAATGCTCTGCGGAAGGATCTCTTTTTTCTTCTCCTCCTTGGCATCCAGTCTCCAAACCGGACCAACCCAAAACCTTCGCGAATCCCTAACCCTTTGCCCTGCACGAGAGACACAAAACTTTAAAGCATAACCCCCAGAAGAATCCTCCACAAACTTTGCGAAGTGTCTACTCTTGGGGTACGTAACCCTGCGAGCACCCAAGACAGTATAGTCCTTGAAAATCCTGCCCTGGACTCTGAACCCTAAAAACCTAAACCCCATAGCCCAAAACCCCTCAAAACCCTTCCCTAAACCCTAAACCCTAAACCCTTAACCCTAAACCCTTAACCCTAAACCCGAGGCTGAGGAGCTAACCGCTTCGGACATGGCCTTGCACTGAGCATGCCTCAAGTACCGGCCGATTTATTTGTTTATGTACCTGTACCTGTACGTTTGTGCCTAGGTGCGAATACACACATATACCTATACATATACATATACATATATATATATATATGCATATATATATAAATATGTAAACATGTGGGTATGGGGTCTTATGCGTAGTGTTTGGATGGTTTCGAGGTGCCTCCATCAGAGGGAGCTTACGAGACATGAAGTTGTGCAAGGATTCCTATGTAGCAATTCTTCAGGATGTTGGGGTCCTAGCCCCCCTACTACGCCGCTTTCATGCGGGAGTATTGAACATACCCTCCTCAGGTCAACATGGAACCCAAGGATGACTTCCTTTGATGTCAAACAAAAATGGAAGCTACTCTAGTGTATTGGGGCTATATAGGGATATTGGAAAAGAAAAATGGAAACTACTATTGGGTGGAAACGACTAGATAGTCCACATAATCTGCCTTTTGGAACTTTTGGTGTTTCACAGGAGTTGTGACAACTCAGTCAGGCGCCACTCCTTCTCCATGTCTGCCATGCGGTCCTAGCCGCAAGTAGTACCAAGAGTAGTCATGAAAGGATCCGAGGGATATGGGGGACTATGTGGAGGCAATAAGTTTAGAAAACCCAACCCTCGAAACAAGGGCCTTGAAGCAACTATGTTATGCGTGTGATCAAACCCTTTGAGCGGGGTTTAGGGTGTCCAAGTATGCAAAATCAACTCGTCGTCTATGTCTGCCACAAAGCAAGACCTAGCTACCTACCAGAATTGCTCAAAACAGTCTAGTGGCAAAGCAGTATCGCGAATTGTCTTAGTATTAGGTCATCTGTGCGCGCCTCGCCGCCTGCTTGGAAGTTCTCCCGCATTTTCCGAAGTTGATCTGAAGTCCTTTGCTCCGAGTCTGCGCTGTTAACAACAGAAATCCACATGTTTGATTAGTGCGCACCATTCGGCCTAAACTTCCATGGACGAATCTGCATGGGCAAGGGCCTCAGTGCCTGGCGCACCATCCCGGAGCTTCTCATTGAAGTCCTTCTGCTTCTGCGTACACTCATCATAGATCATCCACCTCAATGGCTGCACCCACGGCGCTTCTGCGTCCGAAGGCGGAATATCTTTAGGGGTGGAGGCTGTGCATGTCTATGACTACTGGTGCCTACAGATGTGGATAGTTATGCATATGTATATATGTGCGTGTGTCACGACAACACACTGAATTTGAGGAATTCCCATCTCTCTCTCTGACTGTGAGCTGGGCAAATAATCCTCCACAAATCTGATGTGGAACATGGGCGCGATGAGCTTCTTCAAGTCAGCTGGTGCTTCCTGGCCACATGCAATGGATTTCAATGAAATGCAAGCCTCATGCAGACAGTTGCCACGTACGAAGGTCTGAGGTCTTCTAAAGTCTTCCTCTATAACCCCATTATGTACTAAAAGACTTCCGTCCACCCATGAACCCTCAAGTAATGTAGAAGCCTGAGTGATCAACAATGCTACTCATCCCTCTGAAGCTGTTTTACCTGACATCACAGACGTATGCCCCTACACTACCAGCCTCAAGCCCCAAAACCTAAACTCTGAAAGCCTGCATAGATAGGACAGCGTATCAAAACAATCCACCTACAATCCTCAAGCGGACCCCTATAATCTCCCCATAATCCCTGCATATCCCCCAAGGTCTATTGAGGCCCCCTGCCCAATTTCGACAAACGCAGGACAAAGCCTATGTACACTTGATCCCAGCTTGCATTTAAATTTCGATGTTTTCTTCAATTTGACTCTGACTTCCTAGTAACTAGTATTGGGCGTACAATCCAAAACCTCATACCCTATAAGCCCCATAATCCGCATGAACCCTACAAGCCCTATAAACCCTTGAACCCTAAACCCTAGATCCTAAACCCTAAACCCTACAATGGCCCTACAACCCTACACCCGAAACCCTAAGCCCTGAGCAGCATACAGCCTCCAAGGCTTCCGCAAGCAGCTTTCGGTGCTCTGACCGCTCCTTTGGTGATGTTGGCTGTGAGCAAGAAGTCACTGTTTTGGGGTTTAGGGTTTTTGGGGTTTGGGGTTTGGGGTTCAGAGTTTAGGGTTTAGGGGCTGTGAGCAAAAGGTCACTGTCCCAAACCCTCCTCTCTAAACCTCAAACATGCTAAAGTCTGCAGTGCCAATCCTCTATGACTCGTCGCTCTTCCAACCAGACGCGCTTCTTCTCCTTCCATGGATTTTTTTTGAATTCTGGGTCCCGTAAGCAGCCGTTGGGAGATAAGGGGGATTCTGTGGAGGCATATAGGGAAGATGTAACAAAACACTCCTGCCTTCAGCAAGCTGAAGCCTTCACCCCAAGCCCTACACATACCATCTAGGGTTTAGCGTTTAGGAGGTAGGGTTTATAGGGTTTGGGGTTTAGGGATCCAACCCCTTGACCTTAAACTAAACTGTTCACTCTAAGCCCTACTTTCCATTTCATGTTCCGTTGCCTTTGCCATGTGTCTCTCCATTGTTGGGATAAGTTCCCTCTATACCGCTATATACCCCTCAAAGGGACCTAGGTTTCCATTTCAATTTCCAATTGCTTCTCCACTTGATTCTCCATTGTATGTAAATACCCCAATCCGGAAGCGGCCTGCAAGCGCCTCTCCGCTTGGTATGCTGCTTTAGCATCAGGCCTTCGCATGAACTCATTCCAGAAGGCCTGCCCAGAGCGTTTAGGGTTGAGGGCTTGGTTTGAGGTTGTCGGGATGTAGAGGATCTACAGGCTTGGGCTACTCTACGGTTTAGAGATTAGTTTTACGACTCAGGAAGGTTGTTGTTTGTCGCACCTTGTCTCCAGTGAGTGAGCAAACTTTAGTAGGGTTTAGGCTTACCGCCTTCGATTTTATGTAAGGTTTAGGCTTGGCGGCCCCCACACGGTTTCGCAGTGTCTTGCACTGCTCACTTTAGGCTAGCAAACTAAACCAAACTAACTTACTGTCGTTCTCGGGAATTCATGACAGAAAAAAGTGCTGCAAGACCTGCTGTAAGGGAATGGATCCCTCAATAATCCCAAATGTCTTCCACGCCTAGCCCATATTAGGGTGTGCCCCTCCGACCTCTACCCCCAGCCACACAGCTACGTACAAGAAAAATTGCTGTAACTGTGCTAGGCTTGCCTGGCTATTGATGTCGCCTTGCGCCATCTGAGCCATGCTTGGCACATTGACTGGTACACAAAGGCTGGCTAGCTGGCCGGCTGGCTGGGTTCACGAGTGGGATGGACTGAGGGGTTGGGGTTTTGCCATTCTGGAAAGTAAGCGTGAGGGCGTGACCGAGTGTAAGGATTTCACAAAAAAATAGGATTTATGGTAGATTTTGGCGCGCCTGTTTGCGAACGGGGCTGAGCTGGGGTGCAATGCTGTTGGGCTGGCTTGTGGTGTGCCTGTTCGGTCTAAGCTGTAAATCGGCTGCAGCTGCAAACGATTGCACCCAGTCACCTACTTTGAACGAAGTACATCCACCCATCTTTCCACAGAGCAAAGGGGGGTCATCGGTGGAACCTACAGAAATCCTGCCAGGTCCGGTCTCGAGACCCTGGGCACCTGAGAAACCGCCCTGTGCCCCACGCTGCCGGCTCTGCCAGGCATCTCAGCACTCTGCGGCAAGAAGGCCAAGGCCAGCGGCATCTGTGCCTGAGAAGCATATCATAGAATACTATAGTATATGGTACTATATTATAGTAGTTTTTCTAGTATGTATTATAATATAGTATAGTAAAGTATATTATACATGTTTTCAAGGGAAGGGCCGACAAAGGTTTTGAACCAAAACCCGTGCCTTCATGGGATATGGATGTATGGCAGCCGGAGGCATTGGTGACCTAAGGTGCAAGACACGGACAAACTCAATGCAAGACCCGAAGGGCTTCTCTGAGGGCCCGGCACCGAGGGTGGAACAGAGGACACGGGGACACCGTAGACATATTTCTCGAGGTTGGCCTTGACATCCCAAACTCTTCAACTGCTACGCCTACATTTACCTCTGAGACCTCCCTTTACCCCACCACCCACTGATGGGGTAAGACCTTAAGGCCTAAACCCACATAGCCTGGACTCCCAGACAAAGATAAAATCCTACATAACCCCTAATATACTATATAGTAGTTTCCATTTTCTTTTCCATTATCCCAATATAACCCCTGTAGAACCCTTATATAACCCTAATATAAAATCTATAATCCCTGCAGTTTCCGTTTTCTTTTCCATTATCCCAATATAACCCCAACCCTAAACCCTAAACCCTATACCTAAACCCTATACCATAGTTGCTTCCGTTTTCTTTTCCATCATCCCATTATACTCCCAAAATACACTCCATATAACCCTTATATATTTTTCCATTATCCCTACATAATCCCGATAGAACCCTTATATACCCTAATATAATCCCTATATAAACCTATAATATAGTCCCTATTTATATTCCCCCAAAACCCTAAACCCAAAACCCCCCCAAAAAGGACTACTTTTGCCTGGGCTTGCTCTGCTTGAAGCGCTGCCAAGTTGGTGTTTTGAGCCATGGCGATGGCCTGGCTCAGACACTTTTAAGGGGCTTAGGGGTAATAGGGTTTAGGGGCTTAGATAGAGTTTAGGGTTTAGGGTTTAGGGTTAAGAAATACGGGTTATATAGGAACTATAGAGTTTATAGTAGGGAGATAATGGAATAGTGGAAAATAAAATTGAAACTGCTATAATGGGGTTAGATACTATAGGTACTTCTAAGGTTATATTGGGGTTTAGGATTTAGGGTTTAGGGGTTTAGGGGTTTAGGGGCTCTTGGGGGCTTCTTAGACCCTAGCACCTAACCCTAAAACCTCTGACCCTGAACCTTGAGATTAGGACTGGCACCTGTGTACTAACAGAAGAACTCAGGAGCCCCAAAAAGGGGTCGGCTGTTTTCTGGAGCCTTCAACCGGGGTATGCCAACATGAATTCCCCGCTTGTTCTACCATGACCTTGCGCAGGTACTCATCAAAATTCAGCTTCTCTCTGACCAAAGATGGAGGACAACATGCCAAAAGCAGCATTCTTGCCATCTACCCACGCAGCGGTTGTACAAAACTTGTGAATCCTTCTTCTGTGTCCTGAATGTGAAGATCGCACGTGAGAAGAGGCCCACAAAAGTTAGAGGATGAAAGGCGAAGCAATAGTTCCAAAGGAGTGAGCAAGGTGAAGTCAAGGGGGCTCAATGCCAGTTGCAGTTCCATGTTCTTCTCCATGACTGCCTCTATACAACCCCAATATACTATATAGTAGTTTCCATATTCTTTCATCACAGAAGGTCTGGGGCATAGGGTTTGGGGACCGAGGCATGGGATTCGGGCTGGGGCTCCCTCATGCAGACTCGCAGTCAGCTCAGCAGTGTAGATAGCATATTGGGCTTATAAAAGGATAATGGAAAAGAACATGGAAACTACTATATAGTATCTTTGGGTTATATAGGGATAATGGAAAAATGGAAGCTACTATGTAGTATATGCGGGGTTATGTAGGATTTTATGGATATCCTGGAAATGAGCTATCTGAACCCCAAGTGAGCTGGGGGAAGCCACCAAGTGACTTGTAAACGACAACTTGGGGATCTTCGAAGAGACCTGCACTTTGACTTGTCTTATGGAGACAAAGCAGGATTTGGGTGCATATTTTGCGGTAGCTATAGAAGGACTGAAAGGGAAAAGTATTGCCAATGATTCAGCTCTATACGCATGTATCATCCCTAACAATCCTAAAGGGAGCCCAAAATTTAAGGCCTCATAAGTCCTTTGTAACCCTCATATAACCCCATATAACGCCCTTCGGAGCCCTAGACCAAAATTGCAAGATATTCCTTAAAGTTCCCCTAAATCCTGAACATCCCCCTATAGGCCCCCCCCGACCTAACTTTAGTCCGTAGCTCATATAACCCCAAATAACCTCCATATAACCCCTATATAATCCCCATATAACCCCTATATAACCCCCATAGAATCTCTGCATTGCTCACTGGACATCCTGCCTGCGCTGCTGCCTGTTTAGCGGCTGCCGAGGCTGCTTTGGCTGCTGCAACAGCTTTCAGCCCCATGGCACCTGCCGTTTGCGAAGTATGGCCCCTAGTATGGGCCCTTAGGCCTTTCAGGGGGATTCTAGAGACCCTTCAGGGTACGGAAATTGTATATAATCGGTTTCTCAGGATCCCGTAGTTCCATGACTTCAACCTTAGAGAATGGGATTTCCCAACAGCGGGGGGGGGGGGTCCGTTTAGGGATTTTAAGAATACACGAGCCATGGCCCAAACACTTTGGACCTATGGTTCTAAGTTGTTGTGCCACACCGCCGCTTGTCGCTATATTGAAATGCCCCAGACAGTTCTGACGCTGACGCCCTTTCTATCACTGTACTGTCGCAAGCTATCGCGAGATACTTTTTGATTTTGAGTTGCAAAACCATGGTGAACTGATGCATTTCCCTGACAGCCACAATGAGAAGCACCTATTGGCGCCATGACCTTCCTTCTTTATGACACAAGGCGGTTGCGTGCAGAGCCACTCACCAAGGGGAAGCTCAACAAACAGTTGTCGCAAGCCCGATCATCATCAGAACACTGATGCCTCGCTGTCGCAAGCTAGTGTGCACCAAAGAAACTGACACAGCAAATCTGTACTTTTAGGTTTAGATACACATCACAAAGGGTAGTAAGGGTAGTTTAGGCACCCGCTCATACAGGGGCTGCATGAAAATTCTAACGGCCACCCTCAAGAATGACATGAAGACCAGTCTGATCAAATTCCACATCAGTAATCGAAAGGCCCCTATGCCATCCGCCTGGAATCCCCACAGAAACCCCAAAGAGTTCCATCAAGCCCATAAAAAGCGACATGGGTTTGAGACGTGAAAAGGTGCGCGACACCGGCCTGCAATTGTCATGTCGATCGGCCTGGGCTAGGGTCTAGGCTTTAGAGTGTAGGGTTCCAAGTTGCAACGCCTACCGGGAAGCTGCTGGTTAGCAGGAACAAGAATTGAATGCTGGGAGCTGCTGCTTTAGAGTTCATAGTACGAATTCATACTGAGCAGTTAGTAGTAGAGACATCCTCATACTCTCTGCTTCTCCAGCGCACCCCCCAAACTTAAATCCCAAACCCTGCTGAGGATTGGGCATGGTGACAACTGCCACTGGTCACACCGTGATGCGAGGAAAGTTGGCAGCAAATGGCTTGAATTATGGGATTCGGGTTGGGGTGTAGGGCTCGGAATACCTATGGGCACAGCGATTCTCAGCGGATTATGCAGACTTCCTCGCGAAGAAACCCCGCCCCGTGACTGCTGCATACAGTATGATGGCAAGACTTGCACTGCGTGCGGGCTCGCAAACTTTGAAAGTCGTGACCTGGTCATGATCAAGGACTTGCTTCCTGCCACAGCTTCTCGCGTTTTCAAGTACTGTACAGAACATCGGCACCTTCTGCAAACTGCACAAACATACACGCAACATGTGCTGTGAGCCAGTCACGAGCGAATACCAGTGCCAGCTCGTCCAACTCTGATGCTTCCATGCTCTTCAATTTCATTGGACACTATTTCACTAAAGGCTTGTGCCGCCCAGGATGGATGTGAGGTGCTCAAGGGACAGGGTAGATACGCACACGTCTTTTGAGACCCCTCAATGGCTATTTACAGTCAACCGCAAGACTGCAGGATATGAAACACCGTACGCACGACAGCGGACACCACCGTCCAAGAAGGATGCGACACTCATCCCAGTCCTAATCTTATGGCATGTAGAAAAGTTTATCATCTACACTCACGACGGAGCAGGCCCGCTTTGATCAGATGAAACTATAAGGACTGGAATGTTGAAGCCATCTCCGAGGCCCTTTTTCTCGGTCTTCGCGCACAGGTTGCACACGTCACACGCATTTCCCCAGCGTGTTTCTTCGCACACTTTGCCACGAGGCCATGAAGCCATGTGGATCGACATCAATGATTCTCCGCTGTCATATGTGGATACCCCACAATGAACAAACAACTGAAATACTAATTACTTCCTAATTATCCGATAATCCCTTGATTGCCTCTTGCCCGCTTCTGCTTGGGCTCAAGCGTCTCCGCTTCTGCTTGGGCTCAGGCGTCTCCAGGGAGGCAAACTTGTTGCGAAACTCAAGCTGAAGTTTGGCAACGACTCGGCATCCTTGGGTGACAAAGTCAAGGTACTAGCTGGCACGATGTCCTTTGATTGAGGAGTCGCGTGGTTGCTTCTTTTCCTAAAATGCTTTATATCAAGATCATTCATGTTGAATCCATGCTAGATTTTGCAAAATGTGCCACTGACTGAGCACTACAGAGCGCCTTGTCTCGAGGTACGATTGCAGGATGCGCTTTGGGCTCACCAGAGGCCGCGCATTCTGCTGACATTCTTGCGTGCGGCTCATCCAAGTCTGACTTGGGATAGTGCGCAATAGGTCACCGAGGCTGAGATCACACATGGTACATCAAAATGCGATCTACATTTACAGATGTAACGAAGTCAAATAAGCCGACTGGCCCTGAGTTGACCAAACAGACCAATTTCAAATCCGAGTGTCTTTGCTCGACATTTTTGGCCAGCAGCGATTTCTTCTCGTCCCCGTGTAACTTGAAGGCCTCACACCAGGGCACAAGGATGGCTCCAGGCGTCGCCGGCACCGGGCCACTGGATGTAACGAGGAACTCGTCCTGTTCGCTATCAAAGCGCAAGCCCAAGAGACTCTCGAAGGAAATGATGCCGCATCTGAGTTGGTACGTCGATGCGTCGCCAATAATGCTCTCTCCAGTTGTGAATTTCGCATCAGAAAGGACCACCTGATGTGGAAAAACATGTAGTACCGATCTGCGGTCAAACTCAACGCCAATCCGTTCTTCGCCTTGGGCGTTCACATAGCGGTCCTTGACCACCAAACCACGTTAGCCAGCCTCAGCGTCCCCGCCGCATGAATTGACTACGTAAAGAGCCGACCCACGCTCCAAATCAACTGTAGTGAAAACCATTCGGATGCCCCCCCCTTGCAGAAACAAAGCCAATGCGGTGGGCACACCACATAATTAGAACATCATGTATTCAGCATGAAGGTTGGGTATTGCGAGACGAGTTCGTGTAAGTCGGGTAGTTTGGATCGAGTGGTCTGCGTTCAGTTGTGTGAGATGATAGCTTTTGAAAGGTGAGTTGGTGTGAGGCGGGCTGTTGTGCTTTTTGGTTCCCTGGCAACAATGAAACATAGCCCCTCTTCGTTGCGGCGGGCCAGAAACAACCGATCGGACGAGAGTTCCTGGCGGTCATGCAATTCAAATTGTACAACAACCCATGCACAACATGTCCTAAACATGAATCCAAGAGATAAAGGGCGGAGGAGCACTCAAGATGTGTTCATTTGCCAACTTCAGATGGACGAGATAAACAACCCAGGTGACGTTTATATTCAATTCAAGCCTTCAGTGAGCACGCAGCCGCAGAGAAGTAGGATCACTCAAGATGATGTTGTTCTCCGTCTGGAAATCCCACAGCTTCCGCACTCAAGAAACTTAACGCAATGCCGAACCGTTGCTTTTCAACAGCACATCCGAATTATCGGAGTCGCAACACACTTGTCCGCAAACAATGCCTTGCCGTCAGTTCGTTGCCGAAAATTGCAAGACATATATTAATGCGGTCACGGCTTTCGGTCATCTGTATTGAGCAAAAACACGCATCATTGCTCGATGGCCTAAGGCGCGTTTCTTAAACACCCTTAGCTGGACACGAAGCACTGAAGATTGTACCTGGCTGTTCCGCCTATGCAGAATGAACACTCGGATGCTAAAGTCAAGCAACGGTCTCTGTTTATCTTCAACAGCACCCTTTCAGATGTTTGGCAGCTTCAGATTCCATGTCTTGTTGCTCGGCTTGCAAAACAAAAAAAGCAGCAGAGAATCATACACCTCATGAAACGTAAGGGTGCACAACATACTACGCCTTCCAAGAGTGGGAGCATGAGCTAGAACGTGCTGCCTGGGTTTCTCCAAGTTACAGAATATCTAGAAATGCTTGGTAATACTGGAATCTTCCGCTTACCCATCTCTCACCTTCACTCGCAAAACAAAACACGCTTGGCCGACCAAGCAACTTCCACCTGTACTTTTGGCGGCGGGCGGCGTCGTTCATCAGATGACCGCAGCAGCGCGACAAAGTCTTCTTTCCGGGTGACACCGCGCATCAGCTCCCCTTCACCAGGGAAGCAGTGATGTCATCTGGCACATGGAGGCACATGGAAATTGCTAAGTCCAATTCCTTAAACATGAACATGTGTGCCGCCGGCCAGTTGCCACAGTCACTGGACGCAGCAATAAAGTTTCAACAGCAGGTCCTTGATCTGCGCAATCGTGAGTCTGCCTGCTTCTGAAGGGATCTCAGCCCTCACTGCTAAACTCTCGAGAGCCGTGGCCACCTGCTGCTTTTTGATGGATGCCACGCGAAGCCGCAAGTAGAAGTTCGGAGCCATCGACGAACCCCTGGCTTGTAGGTCACCTCGGCTTGCAGTGTTGAGGATTAAGATCTGCAAGTCTCAGCATGAACCTCGTTGGTCAACGAGCGCGCGACCTCCACAAAATTGACTCCTTCTAACACAGGAGGTGTCATTTATTTGGTGGTGGGCATCCTGGCATTATGCGTTGTCACATCATTTTGACCATGCATGACCATGCTAAGTACGGGGCGACAAGAACTAATGGAAACTCCGAATCAGTGCTGAGCGGCAACGGATAGCGGCTCCTTGGAAATCTGTGAGCTCAAAGCTAAGGAAGTCATTGTCACTTGGACTCAGAATCTCTTGAGAAAAATCCTCGGTGCGGAAAGGACTTATGCATGTGCTGAAAATGTGGTAAGGCCAGGATCGACCTGAACCCAAATTTGACCTCAATGCTGAATGGTTTGCCAAGTTGTGAGCCATATGCATCCCCAGAACAGAATTCATTTGTCAGTTCAGAGAAACCCTTAGAAATCCTGGCTTGGTTGCAGGCGAGGTGGAAACTTGTTACTACCACAAGAACGCATTCCAGAAATGCGCAAGTGCAACAGACACCCATGTGACCGGAAAACATAGGCAGCAAATGATTCATGAGGCTCTATGGATTTTGAAGCTCATCCACCCCGAATCACAGCTGACATAGGCAGAGGCGACATGATAAATGACAACCTCACCGACATCTCCCACAACATCTCCAGCGACAAAAGCGGCCAGCGGCCAGCACATATAGATGCGTGAAAGCAAGTCGAGAGATCACGCACACATGCTGAGATCACAAACCTCATTGTAACATTGCTGCCATGTGACGTGTTAGGTGAGTTTGTCAGAAACATACTAAACAAATAATTCCTTTCATTCGGCAGGGAAAAACGATCTCAACAATGGCCAACTTAAAACAATGAAAGGTAAAAAGTATGAAGCCCTGTGATGTCGAAGGTGACTGAGGTTACCATGCTCCTGCCTGAACACAAGCTTGCAATCTTTGCTTGTAGGGGCATTCGCAACAACAAGAAATCCATCAAGCATGCAGAGCTGGGTCTCCCACCAACCCACCAAGCAATTTTTGAGATTGTGAAATGTTTTCCGTGATCATATTGCCATGTTTGCTTAGCCAAGGGTCAAATGGCTTCAATGTCAACGGCGTTGACAGTCGTGTACGGCCGTTGACGAAGGACTCACAGCAACGATCCAGATCCAACATCTTCGTAACAGTGCTCAGAACTGACTACCCTTCAAGTGCTCTCTTTGGCCCCTTTTCATTGTGTAGGTGCTTCATCTAGATGCATGGAACATGCTTCTAAACATCAGTGCCATGAGGGTCTCGCCATCTTATACTGTCCCTGCAGCCCTGCACAGTCGAGTCGTGTCACTCGTGCGCAATGACTCTCATGACATCTGCCATCATGTCCTGCATCTGTTGCGAATACACCTACCAGAATTGCTCTGGTTGAATCCAGTCTCACACTGACGACATTTGTTTGAAACTGCTTGAGCTGGACAAAACTCAATCTGAGGAAGAACGGATCAACCTCTGGTCTCATACTGCCAATTCTCCAACAATCTTTTGGGAAAAGGGGCCAGACCTTGCAGCGGGGAGGGGCAAAGCAGACACCCTGGCTGCTCTTTTCCGCCCAAGCGCTTAGCGGCAGTCGTTGCTTCCGGTCTGCAGGTTGATGTTGCAACACATCGTGGAGATGCCGCCTCCGAAAGCCTGGGTTAAGCTGTTAGGGAACTTGAAATAAGTCATTAATTTGAGGAAACCATATTAATCACTATATATACCCACTATGGAAACCTAAAATTATTACTATGATCAGGAAACCCTAACTCAATTGAAGTTCCTTAACAGCAACTCAGGGGCTTGGGCACAGGTGGCAGCCCCCAGGGAGGCCCCAAAGGGACAGGCGGCTGTGACCATGGGAAGATTCACCGAGGCAACCGCTGCGACCGTGATGTAGGAGGAGCAGCCCCCGGTGCCGCAGCCCACTCCTCCACCCAAGCCAACACCTGGATCATTCGGGGCCCTTTCTCCGTTCCAGTCCACATGCAAGGGGTTCCACGTCATGGTCATGTTACTGAATCTTCTTTTCTACTACCCATTACGCAGAGACTAAATTGCTAAACCCCAAGCCCCGAATTCACCAAAACCCGGAAGTCCAAAACAAACCGGCGAAGCATACTTAACAGTTGGGGAAAAATATTTTCCCCTCAACCCTAAACCCTAAACCCTATTTTTCCCCCTAAACCGGCTGAAGTGAATGGCTCCGAGGAACCGCTCCAGGTGAGCTTCGCGGTGATCCCCACGGCAAAGCCGAAGTCCACAGAGATGAAGCCAACGGGCGGATGGCCCCGAACCAGCCTGCTTAGGGTTTCATAGGGCTTGTAGGGTTTAGGGTTTAGTCAGTTTAGGGTTTAGGGTTTAGGGTGTATAGGGTTTAGGGTCTAGGGTTCGGGATTTGGAGCTTCGGGTGTCGGATAGAGACTGTATGGTTTAGGATACAGGGTCTGGGTTTCGGGTATTTCCCGCACCTATCCGCACCTTGTATCCCGCTTCGGGGTTCCCAAAACAACTCTTTTGCAGCAGAGGCCGCGCAACTCTTTTACAAATTTCTCCTAGGGGCCTGGATGTGGGTAGCCTAGGATTTTGGGCTGGGGCCCGGGGGGAAGCCCCCACCTGTCCAAGCTCTGCCCAGAACCAGCTGAAAGGCCAATGTTCATTGACACAGCTC